TTGCGAGATGAGAGAAAGTATAAGCGAAGTGTCAACCTAATAAAGAACAAGATTATAATCATCAAATGTTATCGCCTGAGTTGTTCCTTAGTGAATGCCAGATATAGACGAAGGTTAGCAGAGAGCAAGCAAGGTTTCCTTACAATACTAAACCAGCACTAACCGGTTTTAACAACACCATTTTCAAATACAATTACCTTCTTAAACATTTGTGTGTCGTCCGAGGCCATCGTGCTCGAGCTCACTTCTGCTTGTAGACTGTCTACACGATGTTTGCTCACTTCTGATAGTAGACTGTCTATACGATGTTAGCTCACTTCTGCTGGTAAACTCTCCATACGATATGGAAAAGGGGTTAGTAACAGCTTGTTTGAGAAATTTAAAGAAAAAGGTCTTCCTTTGTCAACACTTATCAAACTTGTCACGCACGAATTTATCTTGAGATCATTTATTCTTTCCTTTTTGTTGTTGATGGGCTGACGCTCGCTGAGTCACTCTGTGACGCCCTTTTTTAACCCGCCCGCGTCAATGTTGTTCGATATTGTATACGTAAGAGGCGACCTTGTCTGCACTCGGTTCTGTTCACGTGACATTCCATGGACAACGCGATAACAGCCTAGAAGGTAATCTGTACATCGAAGATTGTGTAATCACTGGAGTTTGTTTCGCACCTAGATAAGATTGTGATTCGTACTCCCCTAAAATACACCATCTAAACATTTACAGTATATTGACTGCCTAAATCTCAAATATAAATCATGTGGGCTTGTTATGAGAGATGTCGTACGCATTCTAAAAATGTACATATTGGGTAATAGGCTTTGTCATTTCTAAGACCGGAAAACGTCATAGCGTACTATTTTTAGAAGGTCCGCGGACAAATATTGCTTAAAACATGGCAGCTTATTGTGTGTTTCAGCATATCGTTCGGGCGATCCTTGTATCTAGAGTTACTGCTACATATGACATTCACGCAATGAAGTCGCATTTGAGAAAACAGAAGTAAAAAAAAATGTGTAAAATATTTCGTAAAGTAGAGTTGTAAACAAGTTTCAGGGACACTTCGCTAACATAGTAATACTGAACAGTGTTGACATTTTGTCCGCGCTGAGTACCCGGATGATCAGTAATGGTGACATCAGTTCTATTAATAGATTTCCGCCATTAAATGACAAGCCCTATTAAGAAAGAGGTGAATCAAGTCAAAATGTAACTCACCATCTCAGCAAATAGGCGTTCGGCTAAAAGAACTTCTTTTCATTAAATTTAAGTTGTAACAAACAACATGTGAACAGAAAAACGCATGATCGTTGTTTACATGTGTCTTAACATCTTGTGATCTATGTTATCTTGACATCTTGTGATGGATGTTGTCTTGGCATCTTGATATGTATGTTTTCTTGCAATCTTGTGATGTATGTTGTCTTGATATATTGTGATGTATGTTGTCTTAACATCTTGTGATGGATACTGTCTTGACATCTTGTGAGTATGTTGTCTTTACATCTTTTGATTATGTTGTTTTGATATCTTGTGATGTATGGTGTCTTGACATCGTATGATGTAAGTTTTCTAGACATCTTGTGATTTATTTTCTAGACATGTAGTGATTTATGTTGCCTTTAAAATCCTGTGATGTATATGTCTTGAAATTTTGTGATGTTTTTCTTGACATCGTGTGATGTATGTTGTCTGACATCTTGTGATTGATGATGTCTTGACATCTTGTGATGGATGCTGTCTTCACATCTTTTGGTGCATGTTGTCTTTACATCTTTTGATGTATGTTGTCTTGACATCTTGTGATGTTTACTGTCTTGCAATCAATGATGTAACCTGTCTTGACATTTTGTAATTTATGTTGTCTAGACATCTTCAGACTTTTGTTGCCTTGACATCATGTGATGTAGGTGTCTTAAAAATTTGTGACGTTTGTTTTCTTGACATCTTGTGATGTACGTTGTCTTAACATCGTGTGGTGTAGGTTGCTTGACATCTTGTGATGGATATCGTGTTGATATCTTCTGATGTATGTTGTCTTGACTTCTTGTGATTTATGTCATCTGTAAATCGTGTTATGTATGTTGTCTTGACATCTTGTGATGCATGTTGTCTTGTCATCTTGTGATGCATGTTTTCTTGACATCTTTTGATGTATGTTGACTTGATATCTTGTGATGAATGCTGCCTTGACATCTTGCGATGTATGTTGTTTTTACATTTTGTTATGTATATTGTCTAGACATCTTGTGATGTATATTGTGTAGACATCTTGTGATGAATGTTGTCTTGTCATCTTGTGATGTAGTTGCCTCATGCCATGCCCAGCGATGTGCTTATCACGTGACGCTACTCTGGTGGCATAAAATTGTGATCCGTGTCTCCTGACACGGTTTGGCATCACGTGATGTTATGTTTTCTCGAGACACACTTATCCTTAGACACGTTCATCACGTGACGCAACTGTCGTGAGCTAGAACTATGAATCAGATACAATGCGCAAGGATATCATGAAACACGCATCTCAAGAGACATAATTATTACAAGAAACAGCTGTCACGTGACACATCTGTTATGGTACATTCCACACGATTAAAACATAAATAAATAAATACTGATATCAAACCTTTTACGAAAGTTGCTTGGAATCAACCACCTTGTACTCTCTATTCAGACCACTTAACGGTGTATTGTAAAACGGGAAATCCCAAAGATAACAGTTCCTCATGTATTCGGATACGTGCCGGGACATGCATTAATTTTACAAGTGCTTGACACTTGCAAATATCAATAGAGAAAGTTTGTAAAGAAAATGTAAATGGGTGGTGTTGTAAATGTTAAATAGAGCTTAATAGAAATGATAAGTTGTTGATTTGTACATTTAGGATCATATGGGTCGTGGAAATTTCGTCTTAAGCCATGGACACACTGGGCAGTTAACCCAAGCCTAACGCTTCTAAGGGGGGGGGGGCTTCACGGTACTAGAGGCATAAACTTGCCCACGGTGTTAATGAATATTGAAAAAAAATCTTTAGGCAATTAATTTTCACGGTGCTTTACAAGTGCAGTCGGAAGCAGGTTTCCCCAATTTATCGATTTCGAAATAAAATCAATTTGGCACTAAGAAAAATGAGTCACCATATGGCGTCCATGGAATTTTGGGGTTTTGATGATGGGGACAAATTGGGCTGATCCAGTAGTTCCCAAAATATTTTTAACTAGCGAAACAATTTTATGTTTGGAGCCATTTAGGCTTACAGGATGTCCAAAGCCATCGCGTGGACCATGCAACCCTTGGGACATCAGGGAGCCTCGGAGAATTCAGGGGCTCAGGGTTGTTGTGTGAAAAATATATTAAACTATATAGTTTGAAAAGTTTGATTATCTATATCTATATCCCAAGTTTACTTTTCAAGGACGCGGAAAAGTTGTATATATTTCTGAGAATGCACTGCAAGGAGTGGGGCACAAAACCTAAAGGTGGCAGGTAGTCTTTAAAAGTCAAGCGACGGCTCCGCCTGTGTCTTCCAAGTTAAAATATGTATTAGAGTTCCGCAGCCACCCCAGAGAACCCCCCCCCCCCCGGCCCCCCCCACAAAACCTGGCAAAAAGAAAAAAAAAAGGCTTAACACCCCCCCCCCCCCCGGGCCCCCCCCAAAGACCTGTGTTAAAGTAAATAAAAGTCTTTCCACCCGGGGGGGGGGGGGGCGACAATCATGTTGTCACCCGCACCGTCTCGAATGGATTTTTGCTTGTTAAGCTATATTTTTACCGACTATAGAACCGATCACTTATGTCGGGCCATAGCCCGTTATAACACAAATCTACGACAATGTTGTGGCAGGCCCATCAGGGGTGACATTTCAGGGGTTTTTTTCCGGAGGGGTGGGGGGGAATCAAAACTTGGACGACTTGTTAAGTTGTTTATTGCTGTTGGTGCCAAAGTTCATAGCGATTTAAGTAAAACCTGCAACTTCAGGGGGGTGGGGGCACAAGACTAAGTTTCATAGTAGTTTTTTTTTTTTTTTTAAATTCAAAGGACAAAATTAGAGAATGGCTGTTTTGCTCTTTTATTTAAAGAAACAAATTGCCAAAGTTCATAGCGATTTAAGTAAAACCTGCAACTTCAGGGGGGTGGGGGCACAAGACTAAGTTTCATAGTAGTTTTTTTTTTTTTTTTAAATTCAAAGGACACAATTAGAGAATGGCTGTTTTGCTCTTTAATTTAAAGAAACAAACACGTGAATAATTTTGAAATTTTTAATGATCTTTAATAAGGACCACAAATCCATCTGCAAATAAGAATAAGAATCAATCGTTATAAATAAAAGTGGTTGGATCGTTAAGGGCTTAACAGTATAATATGAGAATCGCATTGTATTGCATTAAATCTGCTTTGTATTCTTTCGCTATCATTTACATAATGCTACGAAGAAGAAAAAACCAAAACAAATACATTTAACAATGTTTTTATCATGCTTACATCTATCCTTGAAAACTAACCATGAAAGTAGAACCTCATAAATTAACTAATTAAAAAGTCTAAATATAACTAAACAATAGATTTTTAGGGTGTAATTAAATGTAACAATTTATCAAATGTACCAGTTTATCAAATTTTAAAATGTATCAAATTTAACAAATTATCAAATGTAACAATATATCAAATTTAACAATTTATCAAATTTAATAATGTATCATGTATTACAAATTAATCAAACTAACAATTGAATCAACGTGTAACAATTTATCAAATTTAACAATTTATCAAATGTAATAATTTATCATATATAACAAATTATCAAACTAACAATTTATCAACATGTAGCAATTTATCAAAGTAACAATTCACCACATTAAATTTTTTATCACATTTAACAAATTAACAAGCTTAACAATTTAGCAAATTAAAAAATTTCTCAAATGTAACAATTTACCAAATGTAACATTTTCTATTCACAATATTGCGTTAATTTTTTTTTTTTTTCAAATTTAACTAGCATGAATCTCAAATACAATACAAATAATTGTATAAAATCTTGAAAAAATATTTTTTGGTCATACAGAATGTTAAATAACTTATTGCGTAATTTTGTTTTAAAAAAGATTAATTAATACAATGCTAAATTTAAAATGTGATAGGAAATAGCTCCATTAATTTGGAAGGAAAACCCTTCAACTATAGCTATGGAATATACAACAAAATATTTTTATCCTTTTTTTTTATACATAAGCCTGGAAAAATTTCACTTAGTTTAAAATAGGCCTAAGCTTCCCCAGTAATCAATAATGCACTTATTCCGCTCCAGGTCTTGTCCTAAAACTACTCTTGTCTCGGCACTCAATAGCATCGGCCCTATCACACGGAATGATGATTTCAAACCTCGTTTAAAACAAAAATGAATATCGAACAACATTCATACTAACCTACAACCCTCACAATCTGATTGCCAAAAAAGAAATATTCACAATGAATCCGCACATACTTCCTGCTGACCCCGAGACGAACAGAGTATTCTCATTCCTACCATTGACTGTCATCATACGCGACACACATCTAGGTGACGCTCTGGTTCACAGTCGCTTCCGAGCTGACCCGTCTTACGTTGGAACAAAATAATGCTCAAGAAGCCGTTGTAGTTCTTGTCTCTATACACTCTAAACAAAAAACAAAAAAAACAAAAACCATTAGCCTCCGTACGGGTACTTTTACCATTAAAGAGGGTTTCACAATTGTTAGTCGAAATGTGATCCATGTGAGTGTGTGCCGTAGATGCCGCTCCTGTTTTGCATGCGAAAGTGGAAGAACTTGATTGCATAGGTTCACTGAGCATATTTGTAATAGTAAACAGCGAAAAATGCCCTCCGGTTTCTACCATGTAAAAAGAGATAACCACAAAGTGACATAAGATGTTTCCATCATGGCACTAATTTCCTGTACTAACGCATCGGCGAGATTTAGGAGGAAAAAAAAATAATTAAGCTTCTTAGCAAAATATCACATATGACATCATTCAAATAATCTCCTAATGATGATCCTCAATTTTTCTGTATTTATTTTATGATTTTTTTTATATTTTACATGTTACCGAAAAACAAAAATCGTGTCCTTTAATTTTTTTTTTCATAGTATTGATACATAAATTTATTTACTTCCTGTAATCTTTGTTTTGGTCAACCCAGCTTCCGACAATAATATTAATGGCGAACACTTTAGTTTTTGAACTCATGTTTGTTGTTTCTTCATTTGTCCTGTCTGTTGTGGAAGGCCTTTCGCCGAAACGTTCTTTTTTTATGTCCTGACTTTATGAGTCGAGCTGGTGGGGAATATGAGGTTACTTTAAGACCTGGAAAACGAATCATTTTTACAACTCAACGTATATTATTGCTGATCTATAAATAAATAATTAAAATAGTATACATCTCAGTGCTAATCTCAGCATAGGTTCTCAAAGTGTAATCACATCGGTCACCCGCCAAGCACTCACTACGATTTATGCGCCGTTGTCAAGGGAGTCTGTGATGTATGAGCAGCGGTATGAGCGGCTCCAGCTGGGCAGAGCAGCGGACCCCGAGCTTGCTGAAGGAAAAGAGTAATGTACATGTTGATGCCATAAACAAACACCAAATGTGGAGAAAAAAAAATATATTAAGCGATAAGGTGAACATTTTAGGTTTCGCTTTTACTTCAGCACTCAGGGATCGACAGAAATCAGATACAATTTGACTGAGATATTTCAAAATCATCAAATTATCAATCCAAGAAACATTGCTTCCATCAAGTTTAATTAGTATTATTTGTATATGTTCTTAAATTTAAATATGTTCTTAAAATAAGGACGGGGGGGAGCTACAAATAAATGGGTTTTGCTTTTAGTCAACTTCATATGTAAATAGTGGCTTTCAAATAATGCTTTAATTATTGTGATTTTCTTTTAAAACTTACACCTCATTGCAATCTTAAGATACAATAAATGGAGAATACAAGTTCACTATTAGTTATTATAAAGTCTTTAAGATAAATATGAAGGAAGTTTCAAACTGATTGAACAGACCTTCAGCACTTTCTCTGCAGCCTTCTTGACGGCATCGTGGACTTCATTTGCTCTGGATGTACAGGTACAGTAGACACGAACTATTAACTCATTGAAACTAACCGGACCCATGATTCGGCTGGCCTGTTTGGAGGGGTGGGGGGAGAAAGTCATAAGCAATTAATATCAACTTATAAACGTGGTGACCACCATCACAGTAACTGGGATTTATACACGTGCGACCACAATAAAAGCCGTTTAAGACGTGGCGACCACTAATGACAGTAACTGGAAGGGAAAGACACCCCAGAAAAGAAAAGAAAAAATAAACATTATAACATAAAAATTCTTCCCCATTGTAATTGATATAACCAATGACCAGAGACATTTGAGTCTTTTACTTTTTATGTAGATTGTATAGCGACAATTATATTTTTAAATTTTCCATTCTTACTTTTTTTTTTTTAAATTTCAGCACATGTTAAAGTTTCACCAAGGTAACACAAATGTTCTACTCCTGAAGATCTCAATTTTTAAAGATTTTTAAATTGTGGTGGGGGTAGCTAACACACAATTTTTGTAAGCTCAACAATATTTTTGTTTACTAGTTATAACTCGCCAAACACTGGCGACAGCAATGCGTGAAATTCCCATCTACTAAAGTGACTTGACAAAACATGAACTCAAGTAACGCACATTTAAGAATCACACGTTTTGCTACACAACCCCCACCCCCCCTCCCATGATAGGTCACTGCATACTTTTATTTCACGCCCATGAACAATATTAATATTCCGATTTCTGATGTCCCAACTATTTTTAAACTTACTATTGTTACACCAAATTTAATTTGTTACGGTGTTTCATTATCCGACAAAAGAATTAATATTATGAAGACACACCCTATTATAAAGCCCTTTCTAATAAAGTTGAGGCTTCAGGAGGCATTCTACAGTAAATGCGCCAGATGCCTGTCGGGCTAAAATGGTTGTAAATCAAATGTTTCAATTCTTACCTCTTCCTTGGGTAGGGTTCTGGCGTGGTTAGGATCTCGTTTTGAATAAACTTTCAGTCTATCCACTGGGTTTTCTTCTTTCATCCCGAAGTCGAGATGAGTTATCTGTTACAAGAACTTTGAAAATTTACTCAATTTTATCGGGACAAGCAACATTTAAATCTGTTAAAGAATCGAACAAATGTCATTATATTTTTTCGGTGCAATGAAAATACTCAATACCTTGACATCGATTTTAACGAATCTTATTAACCAGCCCAATATAAATTTCTTGACCAACCAAGTTGCACAAACAACGGGTAGGGAGGGAGGCAACCGCAACACGGAACTGTAAGCCAAGATCAATGGCAAACCCGTCTCAAAGATCACGAGACACAGATACCATGATACAAAGAGCACGACACACAAAGACCAAGAAAAAAAAGAACGTGTCACATGTTTGCTTCAACTCCGAAGAGAAGATTGTGCGTTATCACCCCCAACCGCCCAGAGAGTCTTTTGGTCGGGACGAAAGCTGGGACAAAACGGTCACCTATGAGTGGCTTTCTCACGGGGACGCCACCAAAATCTCATATCCACGAACGGCCACAATACAAAGACAAAGATAATACGACCTCGACACAAAGATTTGATATTCAGGACCACAACCATTTTTTAACAAGGTAAATATTTTGATTTCAGCTCATATACAGCGAGGCTTAGAAAACCTTAGCCCGCGGGCCAAACCAGACCTCCGCAGCTTTTTTTTCATATGCTTTATACATAATGTTTTTAGAGGAAAAATTAACTATATGTTTAAAAATGATTTTGATCACATGATAAATGAAGCAATATGTGTATCAATTTTCAAGAGAATCATGACTCGCATAATAGGTACCGGTAGCAAATTAGATATTCCCACCCCTATCCAGCAACCGCACTTGAGTGATATTGTCCTCGTTTGCAGTGCCTCTATTGAGTACCATTCAACCCATTACACACTTAGTGGCCAACCTCTTACAATTCATTTTCTACTTAACAGTTTCTTCCTGATTTAAATTTAAAAAAAAAAAGCAAAGAAGAGAGGACCCGACTCACCATAACGATGACCATCTTTTTATAATCTTTATCTTTCTCATTCTCCAACTGTGACAGGATTTTCTGTTTAATTTTGGATTCATCAGTTTCTGCTTCTTTAACCACATCGTTTTTAGTTTGACGTTGCCTGTTGGAGGTCCGATCTGGGCTTTCTGGAGTCTGATCTCGGCTGACGGAAGTCTGATCTTGGCTGATGTTAGTCTGGTCGGAACTGTTTTGAGTCTGAGCCGACAGTTTAGGGGTATCCCAATTGCACAACTGAAAGAAAAAAAATGGATTCAAAATACTTCCTTAAAAATAAGAACGCTAGCATTTTACTTAAGGAAATAGCATCTTAAACAACTGTTTTTATTTCTAAGAAACTTATTAAAATAATATCTACGTACGCTTCGTAACGATTCGGGCGACATGGGTATACTTTCATAGACGCAACGATACAAGTCTCGGCGGAAGATTCTCTTAATAATGTCTTGAGCTTCTTGCAGTTGGCTGTCCTCTTTGGAGTCGTCTCCAATGATGGGTGCATTCAAGATCTTGAAAAGAACGTTATCCGTCAGCTTTGAGTACGCTGACATTTCGCTGTAGCACTGGTACAGACTGCGCTGTCTTTAAGAGAGAAAACAGGGTAAGGACCTTGATTACTTGGTTGCCGATGACACATGTGAGGCATAAGGCAGAAAAAGGCAACCTCGTGTTAAGGATTTTATGCACACAGTCTTTGGAGAGGGCTCTTCTTAGGCAACCGTTTTGCCCAAGCTACGTCGTCAACTATTCACGAAATAGAAAACCGCTGTTGAAAACCCTATTGGAGGCTGTTTGCAACTCCCCTGACCCCCACCCCAAACCGGGATGTTCAAAGCCGTAGTTGCGCCATTCAGACCCCTGGGAAAGTCAATTGCTGATTTTGGGAGACCAACACCATCGACCCACCAGCTGACCTAACGCTGAAATGGGTCTCGCAGAGCTGGTCAATGGAGTGAAGAGACATTTGGCTCAACTGCTCACTAACTCCGAAACCTAATGTACACATTTTTTAGAGAAAAAATGGTGACAGCCGTTTGTATACCTAGTTATCATAACAAACATCTGGACGATGACAAGCCTTTGATCACGTAAGCTTATCGAAAAAAAAAAAACTGAAGTGGGCAGAATGACTCCCCAGTGTAATGATTATCAAACCGACCATTTACTTACCCCTAAATTAACGGATTCACTATAAGGTGTCGGGAAATTCCCTTTTTTGAAAGGAAAAGTAGAAGCCCCTGGGTAATGAAGGTGTTGGGCTCTGTAGCGTTCAGCACTACATTTCTCGTGACAGTTCAGCGGGCAAGTACAAGCGAATTCAGAGAGGACATTGAGAAGATAATACACGGGGACGGGCCAAGCACAAATTTCTTACTTTAATAAGTGGTGTGTTATTTTTTTAAAAAATGTATTATTTGAAACAATGATTTTAACATGCGCAGCTTCTGAACCTGAATATACCCATACGAACAATGATTCTTTTTTTTAAAATATTATTTTTGTAGAAATCATTGTTACTATAGACAAAATATCAGTAAATCTAAGATCTGATTAAGGCATGCTTACTCGCCAGATTCCCCTTCGTATCTCACGTGCTCATTCGCCTTCTTTAATGCCCTGGTCACCCTGAAGCATACAAAAGAACAAGAGTATTGCTAGCCAAAAAATAAATTAACATGGAGCCATTTTTTTCATCAGGTCTTTAATTTAAAAAAAAAATAATAATTAAGATTCAAGATTCACAGGAAAGTATGTAACGAAAATATTTGTTTTTGTAACAGTGGATACAATATATAAATGGATGCTTGAAGTGTTATCTCTCGCTACAAATTAAAAATTGTGAGTGCCATTGACAATGATCTCAGTTAAGTAGTTTCGAATGTAACTAAGAAACGTCACCACGTGTAACAGGACGTACATGATCTCCATGCCGCAGTTGACTTTGTGATGGTAGGCGTATTTGTTGAGAGTGTAGCGAGTGTAGAACATGTTGTAGAGGTTAGCAATTTCCTGGAAAAAATGCAAATTCAAGGGCTGACTATTAAAATATTTCAGTTTTCATGAGTATCAAACAAATGGTTTTTAAAGTTAAGTGACAAAGACGTCACGTGAAATGGAACAGGAAACCATTAATTAGTCTCAACTCAATAAAATAACATTTACTGACAGGGCTAATGATATATTTTTGAATTTCTTTAAGTAAACGGTTCTCAACTCACTAAAATAATATAAACTGACGTAGGCTAATTATATATTTTAAATTGCTTTACGTAATCAATTAATTCCCATCTGAAATTTAATATGCAAATTTGACTTAAAAATGGATACTCAATGAATCATTCTTTTCTCAAAGCGTTAAAGTTTCCGCGATATTTGTTATTTCTTTCTCCATTATTAATAAATACGGAAGACTTTGACTCTGAGTATTTTTTTTTAATTATTACTGAGCTATTTCCTCCCAATAACTAATGACCTTATCTCTGACACAGATCTGGAGTTCTCCGTCCATCTCTATAACCCTGGCGAACTTCATGTATCGCGACCAATCGAAGTTGTTCTTGATCCCCAGATGGTGGCAGTCCCTGGCCAGGTAATCCCACTTGTAGACATCTACACCATTGCGCCTGTTGTTGACAATCTGAAAAGGAGGGGGGGAGGGGGGGAGTAAAATCTATATATGGTCAACAATGGGGGAAACAAAATGTGTTTATCAAGATTTATTTTTCTTCCTTCAAATGACTATTTGGGTGTATTGAGCTTAGAGACGCGCAGCGAGGAGTAAGTCTGAGCGCAATGTTTTATTCTGAGATACGGACTACTTCACATTAGTTGGCGTGCATCTGAGATACGGGCTAATTTAAATTAGTGGGCGTGCATCTGAGATACGCACTACTTGACATTAGTGTTCTTGCAGCTGAGATACGCACTACTTTGCATTAGTGTTCTTGCAGATGAGAGATACGCACTACTTTACATTAGTGAAACCTGATTTTTAAAAAAGGAACGCAACAGAACAACAAAAGTGTCGATACGAAGCCTTCGTCAGTGACCAAACAACAACAAAAAGAATACAATTTTAGAAAGATCATTTAGCTGAGAAGTCAAATCCGTACAATTCATCTCTAAAGTGTGTCCAAGGTGGCTCTAAATTGTGTATGGAGTAGCTCTGAGGTGGATATAAGTTATCTCTAAAGTGTGTACAAGCTAGCACTAAAGTGTGTATATGGTAGCACTAAGGGAGTTGAGAGTGATTGATAATCATTCATTTCAAACAAGCATTTGTTTTTCTAAGTAATCGCTCACCTCATACAGGAATGCTTTTTCTTTCGGTCTTCCCTCATACGACCAGGCCTTCATAAAGACAAGAAAATATTGTTGTTTTTTTCAAACTAGTTTTTATACTTAAAACAGAAGAACCAGTTAGATTTATTTTATCGATTCTATTCCCAGTATTATATCTAGCTTGCGGTTTGGATACTAACAATTTTCTTTACAATATTATCATAAATGGTTAGCTCTTAATATGTATCTTGTTAGCTTTCTATATGTAGCTGGTTAGCTCTTTATATGTAGCTGATTATCTCTTTAAACATAGCTGGTTAACTCTTTATATGTAGCTGGTTACATCTTTACATGGCTAGCTCTTTACATGTAGCTGGCTAGCTCTTTATATGGTTAGCTCTTTATATGTAGCTGGCTAGCTCTTTATATGTATCTAGCTATTTCTTTACATGTAGTTGGCTAGTTCTTCATATATCTTACTGTTATGACTCGTAGACGGCCACTTACCGTAGACCCAGTTGGTTTGGGGTCGCCGATTTGCTCCTTGATGAACGTGATGTCCACCTCTTCCAGTCCGTAAAACTTGAGCTTTTCTCTCAGACCATTGGCCGCCAGTAAGTGTTCGAGCATGTCCGACGACGGCTTAGGGTGCTGTTATCAACAAGAGGGATTTAGTTACACGTGTCCGTTAAATTTTATAAATATCTATTGAATTAAACTACAGCTACACATATTTATGTCATTGGATTATACAACAATTTTTCAATAGAAATTACAAATAGAAACATGCTTCATCCAGGGATCGTCTAATATATAATTTTTTTTTTTAAATTTTAGAAATATTTTTCCTCAAAAATTTTTTTTGAAAAAAATAAAATAAAAATTAAAAAATGTTTTTAAAAGTTTTAAATTTTAGTTTCATAGCTTACATAGAAACAGGTTAACATAGAAGTTAAGTCTGTCAGCTTACCGTTTTCTTCTTGTCACAGGAGTATAAAAATCGGTCCGTATACAGTCGTGAGAATGGACCATGACCTTTAAGAGCAATGCATTACAACGTAATTTTTTATCTTTGAAAGGCAAAGGCTGCAGTGGAATGATACTAGAGAGGGAAACTTTTCATTGTAAGCAGTAATGAAAGAGCTGAAGGGAAACTTAATGAGTTTATGATAGACTCAGATAATATATGGCAAAGACTCAGAGAATGAAAGGGATGGACTCAGATAATCTATGGGATAGAATCAGATAATCTATGGGATAGAATCAGATAATCGTTGGGATGGTCTCAGATAATCAAATCTAAAGGTGGGATCATTTGAACGAGTCTCCCTGGGATGTTGAGCAGCTTAGAGAGACGTGTCCATGGTAAGTAACCTTGCAACCAATGGTGAGAGACGTGTCCATGGTAAGTAGCCTTGCAACCAATGCGGAGAAATCTGTAAATAATTAGTTACTTGCCCAACAGTGAGGACCTACCACTAGTGAGAAAACCTACGAATGGTAAGAAACACACAATAGGTGAGGAACTCCCAATTCTGACAAATCCACCCATGGTGAGAAGCCTACCATTGTAGACAAACTTGGCAATTTTGAGAAGCCTACTAAAAGTTGGGGAAAACTACAAATGTTTAAAAACCTGCTAATGCTTGGAAACCTACCACTGTTCAGAACCCTACCAATGGGGAGAAACCTACCTAGACTTAGACACAATCCAGCTATCTCCACACACAGGATGTCAGTGTCGGTGATGCCAAGACGAGGCTGGTTCTGGCGTAGTGCTCGCGCAAACTGTCCCGCTAAGTGGCAAACCCTAATCATCAGAGGAAAGTTGTTTTTTTTTTTTTTTTAAACTTACAAGTTGTGTAAATATATTTTGAAACGTCGACGAACATGCTTACAGCACCATTGTTAGGAATAAGGAAAACCTGTATTCTTATAAAATTAGAGATTTCGGATACCATGTTCCCTACCCTAACGTGTGTTCAAATCTGTTGTGAGACGCCCCTGGGAAGACAAAGTAGACCATGCCAAGCTGTTTGATGAACCGAAGTCTCTGGAACTGGGGCGTGTCCACTACGAGCTGACAGGCAGGGTGCAGCTGTATGTGGCCGTGTATGGGGTCATTGAAAATCTGGTGAGTGCGATATGACTCTAGTTTAGACGTGTTGAATTTGATCGAAATAGAAGAGCGAGGTGTGTGGAAGATTGAATCGAACGAGAATACAATAAGAAAAGAACGTTTCGACTAAGAGCCTTCCCCAGCAGACCGGACAAATGAAAATTTGACAAGAAATAGAAACTAGCTTTAAAAAAACTCAAGTGTTCACCATTGTTATTGCAGGAAGTTTGATTACAATGACATTACGTTTTTTTAAAATTAGTTTTTATTACTTTTCTTTTCTTCATTTGTCCTGACTGATACATTTTTTTCAATCAGCTTGATCGCACGCAGGCCTTCATTTATTATCATTTAAATGTTATAGAGCTACTTGGGTTCGTCGAAGAATTGTCTTGTTTAACGTCGCGCATATAAACGTATGTAATTACAATTTACAAGAAATATCAATAAATGTCACGTTTAATGCAGAGATAGCCAAATTTTTGCCAATAAAGAGCTGCTTGAATGTGAAGCTATTAATAAATAAATGTCATGTGTACTGTGGTGCTATCAATCTTTATATAAATATATGACATGTGTATTGTGGAGCTATAAATATCAATGTAAATAAATGTAATGTGTATTGTGGGGATATCAATCTATATATAAGTAAATGACATAAGTAATGGGGTGCTATTCAACGCTTGGTCATGTTATGACATTGTACAACCTTCAAAGCTTTGCTGGACTTGAGCTCGTGTCCGTTGACGTCATCTTCAAGTTCGTCCAAATAGTCAAACAGCAAGAGGCAGTCTTGGTACGTTCTTAGAATAAGATATGATAACAGCATTATGTAGACTTGGTACGTTCTAAGAATAAGATAGGATAACAGCGATAGGCAGAAGCAGGTGCATTCTCAGATTAAGATATGATAACAGCATTTTGCAGACCTGGTGCATTTTTACAATAATATATGTGATAGACGCATTATACAACTTGTATTTAGATCAAGATAGGACACATTTTAAAAAACACTTTTCTACATGAACTTTTAACGGTGTTGTTACTACGAATCAATTGGAGCAGATATAAACACTTGGGTGTAACTATGGGGGAAGACTGTGCGCGTGTTGAGGCTATACGAAATTCTAGGGATAAACGGCATGCAGTTTTTTGTACACCGGGTCCGGGTAGTTTGAGAAAATACCCGGTGGGTTCGAGTGTTACAAAAAATGGAGTTAACGAAATCTACTGCCCTGCGTCGTAGTGGGAGTGCATTGCCTTCTTCGTCAGCTTTTTGTGTCAAGAATTAACCCACCGGATAGGAACAGACAGTTTCCGGATCCCGGAATAGTTTCCGGATCCCAGAATAGATATGACGCTGAAGGAAAACCAGTCGGCAGAGAAGGTAACGTCCTTCATTTTATAACAAAGACTTAGGAAACACCAGTCGCAGTATAACGAAAATAGCAATACCTTCCTGTACCAGGCTACGTAAAAGACACAGAAAAATATACATTCGTCAAGTAAAAGGAGGACCCATGACCCAGTTCTTTGTAATGTGCAGCCCCAGAATAAAGATGTGGAAAAAAAAACAGTGGCATTTAAAAAAGAAAAAAAAATCAGCAACTTTACTGCCGTTCACGGGCTACACATGAAGCTCGCTGTGTGAAAGGGCGACACGAACGATACCAACATCCACGAATATTCGCCTCCGCGTAAAGAAAACTAATCAACCTCTTTACCGGAGTTCAGACGCCACGCACCGAAGCTCACTGAGTGACAGCTTTATTTTTCTCACTCAGTACCATTGAAATAAAAAAAAATATGGAGCTATTAGAAGAGCCTCTTTTTGAAGAGGACGCAGAACGCACCAGAAGCAATATATATATATATAATAATTAAGTTAACTTGGTTTTATAAAAGATATTTCTCATAGAGTAGTAAATGCCTCCCAAACATGAACAATGATATGTGCATTAAACGGCGAGTAGCGAGACGTTAAAAGGAAGTCAGAATGCCACAGAAATAGCATTTCTACAAAATACTCATAAAGTTTTCCAACTTTTGCCTGATATCACCCACTACCCTCCTCCATTTTACACTATCGCCTACTATTGCGAACTATTTCACACTATTGTCCATTATTTGACACTATTGTCCACCCTTGTCTTTTATTTCATACTATTGCCCACTATTGCCCACTTACTTAACCCCATTCTCCTTGCTCATGAGGTCATCCACATTCAGTTCGGCCAGGACGTGCCGCAATTTGACCTCTTCCTTTATGGATCTTTGTTTCCCTGCACAAAAATAAAAAAAAAAAAAAGTTTTCTACAAAGGGCAAGATCTCCACATTGAGTAGTAGTTTAAAAGAGACGAGTGACTTTTTCGGTGATAAAGGTATTCAAGTGCAAATTGGTGAAAAGACGAAAGGGCTATCTGATGGACAGATAGAAAATTGTGGTTGTTGGGAGATGGACAGATTTGGTAATTGGGGAGATGGAAAGATTTGGTGATGTGTGAAATGGAAAGATTTGGTGATGAGAGTTGGAAAGATTTGGTGAATGGGAGATAGAAAGATATTGTGATTCGAGGATGGAAAGATTTATGATGGGGAGATGAAAGGATTTGGTGATTAGGGGATGGAAAAATTTGGTGATTGGGGGATGAAAAGATTTGTGAGGGGGAGATGGAAAGATTGGCAATGGGGAGATGAAAGATTTGGTGATGGGGGATTGAAAGATTTGGTGATGAGGAGAGGGAAAGATTTCTTGATGGGGAGATGGAAAGATTTGGGTATGGGGAGATGGCAAGATTTGTGATGCGTAGAAGGAAAGATTTGGTGATGGGGAGAGGGAGAGATTTGGTGATGGTGAGAGGGAAAGATTTGGTGATGGGGAGATGGCAAGATTTGTGATGCGGAGATGGAAAGCTTTGGTGATGGTGAGAGGGAAAGATTTTTTGAATGGGAGATGTAAAGGGTTTGGAAAACAACTACTGGGAGGTGGGGCCGGTCGCCTGGTGTCAAGATTTTTAAAATATTTTTAAGGGATTATTTTTTTATAATTGGCAATATGTGAGATTTTGAGGTATTGAAATTAAACGGATGAAGATTGTTCAATACAATCAATACATTTTAGGTGTGTAATGCAGATTACTGTGGTCTGAACATGAGTGTAGCCTGCACATGGGCGTAGTCTGCACATGAATGTGGTCTACACTTGGATGTGGTATAAACATTGATGTGGTCTGCACATGGGCGTGGCCTGCACATGGGCGTGGTCTACACATGGATGTGGTTTACACATGGTTATTATCTGAACATGTGTGTGGTCTAAACATGGGTGTGGCCTGAACATGGGTGTGGTCTGCACATGGATGTGGTCTGCACGTGGGTGTGGTCTGCACATGTGTGTGGTCTACGCATGGGTGTGGTCTGCACATGGGTGGGGTCTGCACGTGGGTGTAGTCTGTACATGGGTGTGATCTGCACATGGGTGTGGTCTGCTCATTGTTGTGGTCGGGCTGCACATTGATTTCATTTACACATGGATGAGGTTTGAATATGGGTGTTGTCTGCACATGGGTTTGGTCTGACAATGGATGGTGTCTGTACATGGGTGTGATCTACAAATGAGTGAACTCTGAACATGGGTGTACCAAAGATAAAAAATATATGCTACTTTTTGAATTAGGGTTTCTGAAAAAGCTGTTTTGTCCCCGCCTCTAAATCTCTAGCGTAGAAACCACACAAAAAAATGACTGATTTAGATAGTATGGACATACTCGTTGTTAATTTAAAAAAAAACAAAAACAACTGAATACAAATATCTTAAGATAACTTAGATAAATGAATTATGCTTGCTAAAAAGTAATGACACCAGAGCTTACTTTCAAGGGCTGTAATGACCTCTAATGGTAGTTTTTTCTTCTTTAAGTCATCAATAACTTCATCTAAAGGCTTATCCTGCCAGGGTCGTTTTTGGTCTTTTTCCATCCTCACAATTTGTCACAGACCGATGTAGGTTAAACTCGAGTGACAGCCGACATGCTTGAATTAAAATAAAATTAATTTTGGTTTTATAGAAAAACACTTTCAACAAAAAAACAAAAAAACAAAAAAACGGCGATTATGATTTCTACGAGTTGCCGACGTCTTGTCAAGCTCAATCGTTAGCCTATCGTTTGAAACTATGCGATATACATAATAATAATAATAAAGTTCATTTCAAAAACACGCTTCATCCCAAAGGCTCGAAGCGAGGTACAAAGTCAACAAAAAACAAATCTATAATTTACCACATTTAAAACAAACGCAACACTACAAAAACTAATTACAAGCATACAATGTCAAAGTCTTTCTGGCCATTTCAACCGTAAGCAACACAGCCATTATGCATTAACTGGAAAATAAGGTAGACAATCATCCCAGAAGGTGTTTGCGAAATTGATGTGTCTTTAAATCTTTAAACATAAGGATGTTTGGGGTCTTGTTTAAAATTCAGATACAATAATAATAATAATAATAATAATTAGTGGTCTTATATAGCGTGGTACCCCAGCCTAGATCTGGGCTCACCGCGCTGTACATAAAAATATTAGCAGAAGAGACATATACTCTTTATCTTAAGCAGTTAAAATATCTTCTTTTTATTTAACGGTACTTAAAAATTTTCACTTTCAGCCTTGACCCTCCTTTACGATTACGGCAGGAACTGGGGCGTTTCGGCAATGATGCAAGACAGGGCACGTCCCCTGAGCGCCCTTAGAAAGCGGGGGGGGGGGAGTGGGGGGGGTATGAGATCGACAAAGCGGTGCAAGACACGGTACGATTAGTGGGCGCCATTAGAAAGCAAAAAGAGGGGGNAAAGCGGTGCTAGACACGGTACATGCCGTGGGCGCCCTTAAAAAGAGGGGACGCGATAACGACAAACTGGGCAAAGAATTGGCGTACCTCAAATGTATCTGTTTTAAAAAATCGTCTTTTTGCGTATAAGTACTATAAGTCTGTAACCAGCATCGTATACGCTAAACTACAGCACGCAGTTCCGCTGTGTTTATATACTTAACGGCTATTCATACTTATCTAAAACAGATTTCTCAAGGTTGATGGGGGCGCAATTTTTTTAAATTCTTACCGAGGGTACCATTATACTTTAGGTGCATGCACTCCTTATCTGGCGTAAGTGAAACAGGTCGAGACCTAAAGATAATAGATTGGGGGAGGGTGCTACGCATAGCATATTTACATATGTTTATCGTCGAGTAATTTCTGGAAAATCTATTTTGCGTACAGAGATATTTATATAAGAGCGAATGTGAAATAAATAAGATTTTTCACACAGCACTAACTTACCGCCAAAGTTTAAGTAATTCCTATGGACTCCAAACACAATGCATACGTTCTACTTACTCTGAGTTTATCGATAAAAAAAAAAATAATATCTCAATCAGGAAAAAACTCACCTCTACACTCACACAAATTACACAACTATTATCTTATAAAATATAGCTATGTTGTGAAATTAACGGTAAATAAAAGGCGTATATCTCGCGCACTATTTGTACGGCGCGCCGGACGTGTAGGCACTTCGCAAATAAAAGGGTCCGAGCTCAAACCCGAAGCGAGCAGCGTTCACACTACTGCGCCAGTTATGTTGAGATATAGAAAATGTATCTGCTATTCATGGCTGACTGTCTACTGACAAGTCGGTTAATCGTAGGTGATTGTGTTCAAAGATCCATAGATCGCTGTGGGTGGTTTCAGCCTTCGGACACGTTCGGGCAAGTTGTGCCTTTTAAAAACATAATAGTGCCAGCGGCGCGTGATAGGCGGCAGGTGTGTCTGTGGCCGTGGCACATGATAGACGGCACAAGTGTCCGTGGCAGTGACATGTGATAGACGACACATGTCGTGTCAGTCGTAGCAAATATGAGGTATTTGATTGGTGCTATGGGAGGGCGTGATTGACGAAACAATGCGATTGGGGTCATACACCAGTGAGTGATTTGGTGTGTGCTATGTAAGACTGTTTCACATGTTGTATACGATGAATGGTGTATGATAGAAGGTATGTGATGTGCGATATATGTTAAGTGCTGCATGGTAGTAAAGTGGGACAGACTAAAATAGCCAGCTAACACGATAGACGGTATGAGGTGTATGATAGATGAAATGTGGTGTATGGTAGTAAAGTGTGACCGACAGAGTAGGATTAACGGTAGACGATATCAGTGTATTATGGATTGTATGTGATGTATGATAGATGGTAAGTGGTGTATATTGGATTGTATGTTGTGTATAGTGGTAAAGTGGGACATACTCTATAGCTAGCTAGCGCGATCGAATGTGTAGGTGCATGATAGATGGTGTGGGGTTAATGATAGATGGTATGTGGAATGTGGTAGCAAAAAGGAACCAAAAGAGATTGGGCGCACGATAGAAGGTATTGAATTATAATAAATGGTATGAGGTGCATGATAGTAAAGTGTGACAAACTGAGTAGGTTTAACAGTAGGCGGTATTGGTGTACGATGGATAGTATGTGGTGTATGATAGATGGTGTATGGTGCATGATGGATGTTATATAGTGTATGCTAACTGCTTTGTGCTGAGTGTTACTTTGTGAATTATCGACTGTGTGTAGAAGTGCTATAAATGATAAGACATGATAAGAATATCCACCACATCTGTACATTTCACATTATTCAGTGCAAGGCCCATTTTATTTTGAAGCAATTACCCACTCGTGTTTATTTTAAGCTTATTTTTTTCAACCAATGCATATGGGAATAAAAAAAATAAATAAATAAATGTATATATTTCCAAATGCATAGACCCGTTGAAAATATTATAAGATTGTGGTTAAAATTGTAACCCTTCTTACGACAAATGGCCGGAGAAGAACATTCTTTTCATGTACCACGATACAGTGTCATCTAATAATGACCAATTATTTTGTGTCTGTAGTCTAAAATTATTATTTTCGTTAACTACTTGTGGATAAATTATCATCTATGTGGTACGACCATGAATTAAAAAGGAAAAAAAAACTAATAAAAATAGGAGAGAAAAGAAAAAATGGGTTGGTTATTAATAATAGCATATATGTTTATCATTTGTGGTTCCCATGGTTTGGTTTAGTAAACGTGGATTGGATGACGATACCTTGAAATAAAAGGAGAGAAATTATTGAGATTAAAAGAATAAGATTTTGAAATATATCGATATAAATGCAATATATGTGAATGTATTATTGGATCTTTTTTAATTGGCCCTACTGGATTTACAGGAGTCAAGTTTAGTAACAACAAACAAGATATAAACCAGCATAAATTGAGAACAGTAGGCAGCGTCCAAATGGCAAGCTAATCTGTTTTGAAAAAAAAAATGGACTTACCCCATTAAACGTGTTTTTTTTACTCTTTTAGCTTATCGCGTATATCCTGTGGACGCCAATTTGGCAAGCCGGACCAAGAATTTTTATACTTTATAATTTGGTTTACCTGCATTGAATAACATACAAATTATACACATCGATCTGCTTACCGTTGTAATTGAATATTTCATTCATACTAATACAAGAATAGGTTACGCAATATTGATAGGGATGCAAACTAAGTTCTTCCCATGGACGTCTTAGTCCACCTTACATCAGGACGTACTGTCTAAATGTTTCTTTTCAAATATCAAGTGAATCGACACATGAAGAACTTAAGAAATTTCATTCAAAAAAAGTATCATTATGATTTTTTTTTTAAATTGAAAGAAACATTTATTGGTAATGTATAGCTGTTAAAAGTTTTTAGATGCCTCACACAAAACCATAAGGACTTAAGATGAGCGGGATTTAAAAATAACAACAACTGTTCCTTCAAATTAAGAGCCCAAACGGGATTTACCAGTGAGCTGTACCATCTCATAGATTATCCAATTGTTTCTCAGATGTGGCCTGTTGCGATATCTCGTGGACTCGCTTGGCAGGCGCTGTTACATTAAAGAAGAAGAGATTCGTCAGCTAATGATGGCCAGATGGCACACTACAGCAATTAAGTTGAGCGAATTTCATTTCATTTAAGTTTGTAAATGTTTCTTTATTGTTGCATAACTCTTTTTACTTAACATAAGCTTGCTAGAGTTTGTCATAGTGTACATGGGGAAGACCTGGATTCAGCAAGGGCGTAGACAATCGAATACGTCCAGGTGTCACTGTGGTTAGACAATCCAATATTTATCCTTCAGTCGATGTTCAATTACACGATGGCGTCCCTTGAATGTATACTTTACACATTAATTTTACAGGTCGTATACAAACATATTCTTTACAAGACCTTGGAGGACTTCCTTTCATCTTCTTTCCCGAGGAGAGCAACCGAAGTACTGCGCTTTCTTGATTCTATTTTTTGCCATTGGTGGTACCCATAATATTGCGGTTTTTGGATAAGCGCTCAGATATCAGTTTGCTATGCAGACATCAAATGTACTGGAGCTTCAAAGCCTTGTGTAATCCTTGTAGTGTGACATCATTCTACATTCCTAACAGACTGCGTAGGTACAATTGTTCCGTCTTTATATTTTTTTTTGGTATTGTCACAGATCTAATATTCATATATCAATTTTGTTTCGTAAAATAATGTATAGTTTTGTTAAATAGAAATAACAGGAAGTTAGGAATTATGGAATAAGATGAGTAACGGTCAAGGTTTTGCAGGGATTTCTTATCTTTGGCGCTGGCCATGTTCATTCTAGTTATTGATCAATATCTTAATAATGATTTGCAAAGTGTACCGCAGAAGTTATAAATGTGATACTTATATTTATTGTGATCTTCAGAGATATTATTTCATGAGATGTGCTTTATTCAAGTAATAAATATATAGTGATGCAAAAGTTATAAGTCGTGTTTTACTATTAACTATTAATGGACGTCTGTGATTGAAGACACGTTAATCATTGCAAGTAACGTCATTGTAATCCACACACACACACATATATATATATATATATATATATATATATATATATATATATATATATATATTGTGCTATATATGTATTATGTTTACACTAGATAAATATATCTTGCGCTCTGGTGTTTTTTTTTAATGGACGTCTGTGATTGAAGACACGTTAATCATTGCAAGTAACGTCATTGTAATCCACACACACACACATATATATATATATATATATATATATATATATATATATATATATATATATATGGTGCGTTACAGGTATGATGTTTACAGTCGATTAAGTCATCTGGAGCTCTGGTGAATTTTTTTTCAAACAAACTGCTTTAATCATGGGCACCCGCAAGGGAGTGGCTAGGGGGCACTTGCCCCCCCCCCCCTGGATTGATTGGATAAATACATTTAGACAAAAATAGACAAACAATTTATTAAAGTAAAGAGAAAATAAAGAGAAAGTAACTAAGCTGATGTCCTGTCCGTTCGTTCACTATACAAATACGCTATAGTAAATTAAAACTACATTAAAACATTACTAAAAATTTTTGACACCCCCCTAGAAAGATTTCTGCGGGTGCCCCTGGCACCCTGGTAACCAACTGAGTCGGCCATGTTAGTAAGTAATTGTTGATAAGTTTCTATATTATTGAGTTGACAAACGTTCAGCTAAAAGTGACATTTTCTTTAATGTCAGACTCTTGAAAAGGAATTTTACTCTAAAAAATAATTAAAATTAACTGACACAAAACAAAAAAAGGGAAATGTAAGTATTATAGTATGTAGAAAATGCTTATCATTTTGGTTGTTTTTTTCAAGGGTGAACCCTCCAAGGGAGAATAACCCGATAATTACTTTTTTTGTAATTGTCTTATAAAAGTTATAAATGAAAGGACTGCTTCCAAGCTTAGTAAATGGATGAAATAGTGAAACGAGGTATGTGAAAGCTTGAAATAAAATAACAGGACAAAAAACAAGGACTTTTCGGCATAAAGCCTTCCTCAGCCAACAATAGAAATGAAAAATTGACAAAGAAAAGAGCACAGTAGACAACTCAAGCAGTATTCATTCTTGTCTCCGGAAGTGGGAAAACAGGAAGCGAGAGACTATAAATATTGACATTGTGAAAAATGAAGTCCACAATTGTTGATGTTTCCCTATATGCCATCTATTTTCTTATTGCTGTGTGTTGATGTATCCTTGGATATTCTGGACCATTATTTTTGTGGACTTCATTTCTTAGAGAAGAGAATTTCCATTTCCTTACCACGGAGAACGAAGACATCAAAGCGTCTATTGTTGAACGTTTCAACCGAACCCTAAAAGAAAAGATGTCGCGATATTTTACAAAAACAAATCAACTTCGATACATCCATGTAATTGATGATTTGTTCACAATTATAACAATTCATATCATAGGAGTATTCGTATGGCCCCAGCTGAGGTTAACCTAGATAAACAAGAAGAGGTGTGGAATACCTTATACGCCTCTGTTGTGCCAGACAAAAAATCCGTTTTTAAAGAAGGGGAGAGAGTCAGGATTGCTTAAAGCAGACAGACTTTTAAAAAGGGTTATGTCCTGGATGGTCCGAAGAGATTTATACTATTGCCAAGGTAAATTCACAGATGAATCCAATAACTTACAAGTTGATCGATGATATGAACGAAACGATCATAGGAAATTTTTTTAAGGAGGAGATTCAGAAAGTAGGAGATAAACAAGTGTACCGTATCGAAAAGATTATAAGGGAACGTCGAATTCTAGGAGGCAAAGAGTATTTAGTGAAATGGTTTGGTT